TATGTGTACATGTGATGTAACTGCTGGCATGCATGTATTTTGAAGGAAAAATATGTAGTAATAGTATTTTACTGGCAATTTTTTGAATTGCTACACAAACTCAGTAACCTTACAAACACTTAACAGCATTTTATGCAAGTCGGCTTTACATCCTGTAGTATTTTAAACCTCTTACAACACCTTAGGTAAGTTTGTTGCATGTTCCTCAAGTAATCTAACAAAAAAAAGTTCTGGGCTTTCTTTTGCAGAAAACTCTGGGACAGCTTCACAGTGTTCTGATTTTTGATTGGGCTTGGTGGTAGATTTAAGTAATTCATTTGCCTGCACCATCAGTAAAGGGCCAGACATCATCTTTATTTCCAGTTGTATTTGATATGTTAGGCAGCCATATCTATGCACAACTGGCAGTGGCTAATTGCCTCAAAGTGGTACTTTTCAGTCTCTTGCACTGCTGATACCCAGGGTCAAAAAAATCCACAGGGCTTCCATGGAGCTGTTCAGGCTTTAGGGCAAGGGATCAGTGTTGGCTGACAGGCCTGCAGGGAACTTTGTATCTAACTCCTCACTCCTTGGCTGGCCCAGTGTCACTGTGGCACTGGGACTTACTCCTTTTGCTGCTAAAGATAGTTCGTAGTGTGGCAGTTGCCATGTCACTTCATTATTGGGTGTAAGTCCTTGAGGAGTGTGAAGTTCACATTTATTCTTTGCAGGTTCTAGTTGCTTAGAAGTTCTGAAATTGTCTCTTTCTACATTTTCACCCTATTTAAAATTCTTCTGGGTAGGTGAGCAACAAAACCATGAACACTGTCTATTAACTCAACGCTTGTGTTGTACTTGTGGGTCTTAAAATGGTTTTATTTTACATACATTTTGTTCCCAACAGGCCTTTTTTGTGGTGAAATATTACAAGTGCTTTTTATAATTTAACATTTTTTTATTTATAATTTTTGTTTGAACTTGATTTTATAGGTTTTTTTATTTAGAGTTTTGGATATATATTTTTTTTATTCCTTATGACCCTCTTATAGACTCCCTTTTGAAGACTGGCAGACCCCTTCTTGTCCCATCACCCAAACCTTTTCAAAACCCCCTTCAAAACAAATAGGATTGTTTCCCCTTCCCTGCAGCATATCTTGTTTCATGACTTAATTATTGGGCAGTTTCAACCATTCTCATACTGGACTTCTCATTGCCTGATAGTTAATTAAACTATTAAAATGTCATTAGCTAATGATAAAATGGCAAATGTTCAAATTCCTTGTAAGACCTCTTCACCTATTGAACCTTTCAGTTTGCATGAAGCATGGTATAGTTATGGAAAGGGATCCAACAAACTGAAATACCCTGATGGCTATTTCTTGTGTCAGGTGGTAATCAGAGGGTTTTGGGTGGCTGTTCCACATCCAGCCTTTTGAAGACTCCACAGCAGGCAGTCTAGGTATATCTTTCAGCCACCCTTACTGTTAGGGCTGGGGTTATTGCTGTCTAAGCATTAGGTTAAAATAAAGTCAGTAACACAGAATGAAGTGCAGCCAACCAGTTGTTACCCCTTACAGAGGAGATAAATGAAATATCCATCCAAGTCATTCCATGCTATTGTGGCAGTCACATGTATTTCATATAATATAAATTACCTAGATTAAGGACACTTTATAAATTACATTGTGGAACATAGTTGTCATTCTTTTAGACCCTGCAGACACAAAGTAGAAGAAAAACAATTTCTGTTCTCAGAGGTCAGGATCACTTCACCATTTGTTATGCAGAAGTCCAACAATTCATCTGTTCAGGAATATAATACAAGAATTTAATTACATGTCATTAGGCATTTGAGATTTGTTTAGCATTATTGCTCTTTTGTAGTACTGAAATGAGTTATAGAATGTCATTTTCATGTGTGCATTTCATATGAACATTTCATATTTGTGTCAGTGCTGAATAAGAATTTTGGTTTTCACTCCCATTGGAATAAAATGGCAGTACAGTCCTGGTAATTTTTAAAAGATAAAGTTGACATGTCTTTTTCAATCCAGCAACTTTGAAATTTATTGCATGGAAAACAAACTTCTGATAAACACAACTTTTTTTTTGAGGACTGTATTTCCCATAGTATAACATTTCCCATGTGAATGAAATCTGAATTCCACACAGATACAATGTGTTTCTTTAAATGGATTTTACTTTCAATTCTATAAAGCATGTTTCCTCAGAAGAGCCTGTACTACTTCTGGAAAAGCCCAGGGATATGGTCTCGCATACTTAACCCAGGGATATGGTCAGCTCTTGGTTGCTGTCTCCAGTAGTAAACACAGCAGGTTAATAGGAACATTTCAGTGACTGTACTACCACACTTCATCTGAGAAATCGTGTTGGTAAACTATAAAACAGAAAAAAATCTGTAGAAAAAATGAATTGCATTTTGAATTTTGCAATATGGAACTCTAGGTGGAAATAGCCCTTCTTAGCAAAATTGGATTTTTTTATTATTTTTTTTTTAAGTCCAGCAAGCTTAAGTATCATAATGTTGATTTGCTCAACAGGATTAAAAAAAACATAGTATGCTAGCACTGGAAAATTGGCTTTCACCATCCTTTCTGCATTAGTGGTTTGAGAAGATCAGTGACTGCCAGACACATGATAACGTGATACCTCTTTTGAGCAGGCAGATTATTACAGAATATCCTTTCCAATGTGTTGAAGTTTTTGTCACTATTTGTGCATTTAAATACAAGAAGGAACTTCTTTACTATGACGATGACAAGGCACTGGAATGGGCTGTCCAGGGAGGCTGTGGAGTCCCCTTCTCTAGAAATAGTCATGACCTACCTGGATGCAGTCCTGAATAATGTACTCTAGGGCAGCAGGGGAGTTGGACTCAATGATATCCAGAGGTCTCTTCCAACTCTGACAATCCCATGATTCTGTAATTTTAATGTTTTGTTGGCACTTTCTAGCTGCAAGTTGTTTTGGAAGACACCAAATTTGATTAGGCTTAGAAAGGGATTAAGTTTAGATCAGCTTTACACGGGGATATGTGTTGCTTTCTGCTGTTGCTTCCCTTCCAGTTGTGACCAGTGGATGCAATTTTTTTCAAACTGTTTATTCATTCCTTTTCATTCCATCAAGTTTGGATCTTGGTATGTTTCCAGTGGAAGCTTGTCGTGTGCGTGGCAACCTTCTCAAAGAACAGCAGTTTCCCACAGATTGCTCCCCTGCCACTACTGAAGATGGTTTGTCCAGATCATTAATGAGAAAATGTGATGGTCCTGCCTAGGGAGGACCATGCTGCTAGACAGTATTTATTTGTTGTCATTAGAATAAGATGCAGATAATCATACGGGCACTGTGGCACAGCTGAAGTGCATCTCAGATAGCGAATTCTGGAATAACTGCTCAGAAGGGAAAAGAAAAGGGAGAAGCTCCTCTCCTGGATTTGTTGCTACTGTTTTACCCTCTGTCATTAAGTAAAAAGTAGAAATTGGCTTGGGAAGAAAGAAAGAGAACCTATTTTTTTGCTTTGAAAGCAGCTTGGGAAGAAAGAAAGAGAACCTTTTTTTTTTGCTTTCTGAATGAATGCCCCAAGTGTTCACATCCAACTTTGCCTAGTGTTAAGGGGGAGGTCTCATGGGACGTGGGAATTGTTGTCATTCTTGCACCTGAAAGACCGTTATGTACACATCTACATCTTTATTATTCTGCCTGAAGGCTTTAACATAACCAGATGGTATTTATCTGGCCATCGTAGATGAAAGAGTGTGTGAAATAGCAGCATGTGACAATGATAAACACTGAATAAAAATAGCAAGTACATGTAGACTCTGTCTTAAAGAAATCAGAGGGATTCCTGAGAATTATTGACTCTGCTGTATATCAATTTCAGAACAAACACTTTGAAAGCATGTGTATGTAGGCATTTCTGAAAATCTGTATATGACTTTGATCAGTATAATTTGAGGTCAGACTGGTCTCACTTCTCTAGGGGAAATTACACTTTGCCAAATGCCTGTTCTTGTGTTAGGACCCAGTTAGACATTGAAGTACAGGCCAAGAAAAGAAACGGGAGCGATAGAAACCAGTTGTCTGGTCTGTGGCCCAAATTTGATCACAACCATTGTCTTACAAAGTCCAAAGACTAGTAACAAGCACATGGTTAGCAATGTGTTGAAACAATTTAAAAAATAAATTAATAAACTGATAAACAGCAACAGGAATGTAAACCAGTCCAAAGTAAGTTTTATAGTGATGAAATTACTAGTAGTCTGTTCAGGTCTCTGCTATCTGCCATGTTCTTATTCCATGAAAGAATATTGAGAAGTATTTTAGAGTAGCTGAAGAAAGGATGTGGATTGGAACGGAGGCTGGACATCGGTA